GATACTTTGGGCATTGGCAATTTGTCAGAGTTGTTGACTGAGTTTGACAGAGTTTTGTTTTATTTTAAAAAAATGTGGAGGGACCCAGATGAAAAACGACAAAGCCGTAGGCAAACAAAGCCAATATCCGCTGCTCCATGAAGCTGATACACAATCAAACAGTGCCTGGTGGCTATGGAGAAGCACATGGAGGGGTTGTAAAGCTGCTTGATTTGTCATTTTGTTCTTGGAGAGTGGAGGACGTGAAAAGAATGAGGTATCAATAGCAGTGGATGATGACTTGGGAGTCGGTGTAGCTTAGTTGGTAGACCATAAAATGTTTAATTGAATTAGATTAACTGTTATGGTGGTGTAGTAGTTAAGAAGCTGAGCTGATAACCAAAAGATTTTGAGTTTGAAATCTACAGCTACAAGAGATAGGAAATGGATTCCACCATCCCTCTGTAGTCTTTACCTCGACTAACAGATGGTTCTCAAAGTAATGAGTGACCCCATTTCTCTAAACCCCTCCACTCGATGCACAGGCTAGCTCAGTAAGCCAGAGAAATCATATGAAGTGTGGAAAAACATACATATGTATATAAAACACCTAGAGTTATGCTATACAAACTGCATGAGTATTTAATGGCAAAATGACTGATTTATAGTCTGTTAGGGTTGTGTTTGTGGGTGTTTACAACAAGGGTTTTGAGAATGTGCATGCTAATAGATTAATAGCACAGGCTTCTTTTTTTTATTCCTTTTCATTTCCAATACCTCTTCTTTTTCACACGCAAGATGCTGAAATGATTTTGAGTTTGAAATCTACAGCTACAAGAGATAGGAAATGGATTCCACCATCCCTCTGTAGTCTTTACCTCGACTAACAGATGGTTCTCAAAGTAATGAGTGACCCCATTTCTCTAAACCCCTCCACTCGATGCACAGGCTAGCTCAGTAAGCCAGAGAAATCATATGAAGTGTGGAAAAACATACATATGTATATAAACACCTAGAGTTATGCTATACAAACTGCATGAGTATTTAATGGCAAAATGACTGATTTATAGTCTGTTAGGGTTGTGTTTGTGGGTGTTTACAACAAGGGTTTTGAGAATGTGCATGCTAATAGATTAATAGCACAGGCTTCTTTTTTTTATTCCGTTTCATTTCCAATACCTCTTCTTTTTCACACGCAAGATGCTGAAATGAGCCAGAACTGAGAGTTTAGAATAGAAAAAGAGACTTCATGCTAGCTTGAGCATGAGTCGTTATTAATTAATGTTTTTTGTCAGGCATCAAGCTACAGTTTTTACATTTACAGGAATATATCTTATATATATTTTTATATCTTAATATAATTTTATTATATATATATACTAAAATATTAGATAATGATATAAAAATTGTGTTTAATTTAATATTGTATTATTATTATTATTATTATTATCATTAAGTAAATTCAGTATTTATGTATAATTTTAATGTTTATTTTTTATATATATATATATATATATACAGTATATATAAAAGTATTTAGTCAGCCACCGATTGTGCAAGTTCTCCCACTTAAAGTAGACACATTTTAGAGGAAGATTTATACAAAGTACCTTGCAGTGCCAGACTACATTCTGCTCCAGGTTAAACTCTTACTACAGTAACACCATTTGACTACTTGTCAGGTCAACAGGGCTATATAAGTATTGAGATACATTGGCCACAGTACATACAAAGACACACAGCTTCATTATGCAGGCTGACTAAATGCAAGGCCTGTACCAGTGTTGGCCAAACTCTGTGAAAGCAGTGAACCCTTTGTTCAATGGCCGTCAATTACCCAAGCCTCTTCCCTGTAATCATCTCTTTCAAGACTTCCACTCTGAACCTCCTGGCATTTTAGCAGTGAACTCATTCCACCCCAATTAGCCATTAACGGACCCCACAGAATTTCACAGCACATTTGAAAATACAAACTTCAAGTACTGAAGAATATAGTCTATACATCAGCTAGCAGGAGTTTTTGTCACTAGGCACAAAGAGTTTTGAGATCAGTGGCGGAGCTAGAGTTTTATACATGGGGTGGCCAAGGCTAATTCAGGGGGTCCATAGACCATGACAGAAATCAGTGTATAACTCCAACCTGACATAAAAAAGCATGAATAAATCCTACGATTGCTGATTACTTCACATTACCCCACATTAACTATACATTCCTACCGTAACTTCAAATGTTAGTCTATTGGAACTTACAGTATTTCTCTTATTTCTATCATCTACAGCGGTTAAAAAAAAGACCTAGTTCATATTAGACCATTTTAACATTATATCTAGCCAATACATGTACATTAATTATAATAAAAAAGAGAAATTATATGAGTAAAAATATAATGTAATTTTTGCAAAATTATCCTCTCTAGTGTAAATTTTTTCTCACTAGTATATAC